CAAATTCAGAAGAGTCATACTAAGTTTTTATTTAACATAAAAACATTTTTGATATTTCGATTTTTTAAGATAATTACGTAAACTAGTGGTCGCCCAGTGGTCCAAATCGACCATAATTAATTATACACAGTACACAGTGTGTAATGTTTGTTTTTATTGATTTAATGTATTTATGTACATAATTAAAAAAAAATATTAGCACTCAGCACTCCTTCTCTAAATAAACTATAAGTGTGGGAAAGTTCATACTCCTCCGCCCGTACAATTTTCCTAAAAAAGGGTGCAAAATTTTTGCTTCACGTATTAATATATAGATAAAAAGTGGAATTGTTAGGACGTAAATATGATACGAAATATTCATTGGTTCGTGGTACTGGAATCTGTTTTATTTCGAAGACCATCTGTTTTATTGTGATTCCCATATTTTGTTGTGATGTTAAAAAATCTTTAACCTTGTACAATTAGATATTTTTCCTCGTATTATGTAGATTTATGTTTAAAGCCTATTGATAGCTATTACGCACGGACCTTTCGTATGGTCCAGACTGGGGTAATTAAACTCACCCTCATTATACGACCCTCGCTACAAGGGTCAACGATTAATTTTAATAATAAAACGATATTAAGTACACACATGAGAACACTATCACAGGGTAAAACGAGACCCTATTACTAAGAATCTACTGTCTGTCTATCTCTCCGTCTGTATTTCATGAACCGTGATAGTTAGACAGTTGAAATTTTCACAGATAATGTATTTCTGTTGCCGCTGTAACAAAAAATACTAAAAAACAAAAGAAAAAAATATATAATTGGGGCTGCAACATGGGCAAACATGCAGATCCGAAACAATTATCCGTGGGTCACACAAATAGTTGTCCCATGTAATTTTTTAGATTTTCTCCACTTTTCCCCACTCGGCTAGAGACTATTGTTAATTTCCGAGTTCGTGGCTATGCATATAACATGTTCTATGCATATATACATATATGCATACTGCACATACTCATAATTATATGCATATAACATAATATAACAATCATATACCTCACGACACAATGTCAAAAACGCAATAGTTATATTTTCGTATTGAGAATCGTATATATTTTATCATAGAGACTAATAGATGGGTTCAAGATAGAGAGTAATGAGATCAAGTATTTTTTTCTACTCAACATTCTGATACAGTTTTTACCATATTGCCAGTAGCCAGGTGCCAGTATATTTACTCCCATAAGGCATTGCATCACGTTATGCAATATGTGAAAAGATCATGTCTGGATGCAAAAACTTAAATTTGAAATTTTTTTTTATAAATATGGATAAGAAGGTTTCTGATAAATATATTCCAAACTCCATTCAAAAGGGAATGGAGCAACGATGATTAAACATTGAACTACTTTAACAATAAGAGTAACAGATTACGTTTAAAACGGTGGGAAATACGACAAGTACAGCGCTGTGAGAAAACATTAGGCTGACTGAAATTTTGCTGTTTCATTATAACGGTAATCTTGAAAACTTTGTAGTCCGCGATTCCGTTGGGGGAGAAACGAGATGAGGTCACTATTTATGTTATTGGATTACGAGTTAATGACGGTCAGGAGACAAGACTCCGGATGGGCTTAATATCTTAAGGGAGCGGTCGAATTCTAGTTGCGTATTTCCATCAGATTTCCTTAAGGTTTTTTGGTGACAAAATTGGTGATCCGTTGGCGAATCTTAGTGAAAATCTCAGCACCTCTAACAGTTCGGTAGTTTGTAATCTGCTGTGGTATATTAGTATTAAAAGATGAAAGATTTTATGTAATATTGCACTGTGCCTAATTACTGCACTACTATGGAAAATAAATATTTTCGTTCCCCTTTAACCTGTTTTCTGACCTCCGACATTTTTGTCTCGAACGTAAAAAATAAAACTTGATTCTTGAATTCGAAACAGTGTAAATCAATGGTTAACCATAATAAATATAATATTGTAACAGAAACGATTTTATATTTAAATATCAATAATTCTTGAAATAAAGTTGAGTTTTTACAACAAAACGTTTTTACGTAAACGTTTTTACAACAAAATCCCAGAAACGTTCACAATGTATCAATTTCTAAATACAAAAAAAATTGTAAAGGAACGTTTGTATGTTAAAGGCTATTATGATGTTAGTGATTATTTAAATGATAAAACACCCTGGAAATGAAGTGATCGCCCCAGGCTCTTTCAAGTTGACTTTAATACATTTTTAAACATGTCTTTATTTGATAAATAATGGTACAAAAAAAAGAGTTCCGCTGAGTTTCTTTCGCCGGTTTTTCTCAGGTCAGTGGCTTTTTTCTCCGGACCAGTGGTAGCTTGTTGACAATCAATAAGTAAGTGTAATGTTCTATATTGAATAAAAGTATTTGATTTTTGAGTATTGCATTACGTTATTTGTTTTTTTTTTTTTATGTGAGAAGGTGGTTAGCGAGCTGGCGGTTCTACTGATGTTAAGTGCTATCCCCCATCCATGGACATTTCAACACCCGTTACAGCTGCGTTGCCTTTAAATGAAGTTAGCTCCGTTTACCTCACTCACCAGACGAAACGCGGTAGTATATCATTTCCACTTCACGCTGGTCTTCTGCCAGGTCGTGGTACTTCCGCGGACGGGCCTGCCATTCTTGCAACAGAGAAGACTGTTGAGTGGCACTACCACAGTTGTTCCCTCTCAGTGAGATGAACGAGGAAACAAAGTCAATGTCAGACTTGCGATTACCCTCAATTTCCAATTTCATGAAAAGAATTTTCAAATGTCGGTAGGAATAGCAAGTAGGCATGAATACTCGCGTTCAAGTCCTGTGCGCTGTTGACTAATAGCCTTTATTTCCGTTGTCATGAATTAGCTATGCAACTGTTTTGTCAGTCCATTCATTGATTATTGGTATAAGATACAAGCAGAAGCGATGAATTTTTGTATCAAAAATAAAACAACTAAATTTTGGTAAAGCTAATCCTATAAATGTACTAAAACTTATGCAATAATAATATTTAATACGATAACTACAATCAGTTTTTCTGTTAATTTTATTAAAATGTCACTGTCATTCGACGACCCGAATGGCGTAGTGGGTAGTGTACCTGCCTCCTGCGCCAGAGGGTGTGATGAACATAGTGTTTTTCTAGTGTCTGGGTGTTTATATATCTATAATATGTATTTATTTACAAAAGAAAAGTATGTTTAAGTATGTTTATCAGTTTTCCAGTACCCATAGTACAAGCGTTGCTTAGTTTGGGACTAGAAAATGTTGTGTAAAAATGTGTCCAAAAAAAATACATAAGAGTTCGTCATAAAGTTGCAGTTTCATATTTAGGCTCCAACAAAAATGTAATAGTTGGCTATTAAAGACGTTTACATAATTTGTATAAAGCCAATATGTGTGAAAACTGTAAATTTATTTATTTTATAATAGAAATTTTCAATGAGCAAACGTTTCGCCTCACGTACGATGATTAATAATATTTAGTAATAGAGCACTTAAAAGTTTACCCTCTAATGGATTAGATTAAGTAAAGTAGTTAAGTAAGTTTTCCGAAAAAAATATTCGAAGCCACTTTCGAAAGGTACTTTAATAGTTTGTTGTTGTTGATGAGGTTAAAGTCTAGTTTAGTAGGTAAACTTCAAAAATACTTTTTAACCTGAAACTAGTGTGCGCTAAGTAATACGAAAAATGCGAACAAACTAAAAGTAGATAGATATTGTTTTAATAGATAGGCATCGATAGTTTTTTGCGTGGTAGGGCCACGCAAAAGTCTTCTTTTCTGTTTCAAGAATGGGCACGTCCGTTCGGGGAAGTACCACCACCTTATAGAATACCAAGATTTTCAATCAAGGTTTTCACGCAGGTAGTCGTGTTTTTTTGATGATTAAATATTTTTTGATGTAAGTGTAAACATATTTCAATTTGAATTTGTATTTGTGAATTCTCACGGCCGCTTATGTTTCATTTATTCGAACTCCTTAACTAATTAAATAAGGGTTATGTAACTGTTGAGAAGCAATGATTTTGTTTAGTGATGTGTTTTGTTTATTGCAAATGTGGTGAAGTAGTTCCGATCATTTTGTTGTTTTACCTCTACAAAGCAGCTAGATGATATTGTTAAAAACGCTGCGACGTTCCAACTTAAACATTTTGTCCCTTTTATCTAACCTCTACCCATTGTCTTAAGAAACGGGCCGTTTGTAGCGTAATGGCCCTCATCTTGAGATGATGATATTGTTAAAAACGCTGCGACGTTCCAACTTAAACCGTCAAGTTCCACAGTTCGAATTCAATTATAATTTCCCTTCTATTTACATATTACCATTACAGCAATTTTACCAATACATTTGTAACACTTTTCATGAATGGACGGGCGTCGACTTTGTAGTGTCATTGTTAGACGTAATGGCCCATCACGCTGGAGAGGAGTCGAAATGTCGGGAAACATAAAACGCCCCACGACGGCGCCACCGAGTCAATTACAATCTTGGGCTGATTTTCATTTGTAAACAACTACCTTGTTGTTATCACAAAAACAAAAATGTATATAACATAGATATAATTTATTACGCTACTATCTAATGGAAAATTATAGAAACTCTTATTCACAAATGATAAGTATATGTATAATTCAATACATTTATCGATGATGGTGATTTTGGGTCGATGCTGTATACTAGTATATTGGTAAAATAAATTAATGGAACAATATTTACATCGGTTTAAACAGATTTTCTGGAAAAATGGCTTTATTTATTAATAAAAGAAACATATAAGTGACGAAATCATGTTTCTTCACAAAGACCTTTAATAGTTTTTAGAGGTGACATGATACCAGTTTTTTTTAATTTTCTTCTAAATGAAAAGATTTTAATTTCGATCTGAATTTAATTTGATCTTTGCAGAAGATAAGAACTAAAGGAATTCATGACATTGTTACCTAATCAAAATTCGTCAAACGTTATCGAAGCCAATGCAATTTATACGGCTGTGAACAAACTTTCGCATTTGAAATTTTCGTCGAACCATGGTTCATAACCTAACGGGCACTCCTCTATCAATCCACATTTAGAATTAACTTCGCACCATCCACAATTGAACCTTTTGTTTAACACTTGACACTGGTTACAATTTTCGGCTAGGGCGTGACAGTTGTACGCTATTATCAGAACGCTGTTCGAAAAGGGCACGATACTTTGCCAACGCAAACGTATCGAGCCTAGTGCGACGCCGCTTGTAGTTTTGAATACGTGCGAGTCGCAGTAGACTATATTCTTATCAAGGAAACCGTGCACCTTCATGAATCTCTCCTCAATGTGTATTTCGCAAATAACTTTACCTTTGAACAGCATTATATCGTCGATTTCCATTTCCAGCTTTATGGCGTGTCTCACGTTCGCCGGAACGAAAATGGGACTTTTTGTGACAATTCTCGTGCAGGCCGGTTGCGACGTGTTCATTTTGTTGTTGAACAAATGGGCGATCAGAATTTTCTTGGGGCAGTGGAGATGTGGAAATTTTGTGCACCCCGTGTTATGGCACCATTCGCACTCGAGCTCGGATTTTTTACACTCCTGACATGTTCGCATCGATTCACACCTTTTCATTATTGGCTCCTTCTCAAACACTTCTTCTTCAAATTGCAACTGCACCGATTTTGTTAGTATTAATATAAAAAAGTTAATTAGTTTCCAGTGCATATTTATAACACATTAAATTTTAACCAGATATGCGGAAATGCTCGGATTAATGTAAATTTAAGTTTCCTCTTAAGAGTAAGTTAATTACGGGTAGATATCTTGGATACTGACAGAGTTAATAAAAAAAACACTTTTATATGATAAATCGTATAAAGTTGTTTACATTCGCATTGATAAAACAATACGAGCATCACACGTATTATCATAAAGTTCGAATAGTGGCGATTTCATCGAGTCAATTCAATAACCATTATTCCAATTTCAATCACGCATGTCAACGATTTAAACAATAGTGCTACCATTTTTATTTTCTTATACTATTTTATTTGTCGCTGCAAAGAATCAACGCACAAAAAACATCTTACGTTTAAATGCTTCACAGACAGTCTATTTAGAGCCCAATTGATAAAATTATTAACACATTTATCGCCCAAAATGCAAGTCTCATAAATATCACACCAACTGCATCCATACTGCATTGGTATCAATCTGCACGAATTACAATCTTGGGCTAACTTTTCGCATTTGTAAACAACCACCGGTAACACATTCGAGTAGGGATCCGCGCCACCCCAAATCAATCTGAATAGTCCAGAATCCAATTGTTCTTTTTTGTCAGCGTTTACTATCACGGGGTAACAATGTACCGAGTTTTTCATCAGCATACCTTTTAAATGGATGAGCCTCTGTTTGAATTTCAATTCACACATTATTTCCTTATGGTAAAGAGCTGGGTCCGGCGCCACTACGTTTATTCTCAAGTTGGTGCGAACACCGGCGGGCAACAAAATGGGTCCGTCGTGCACAATTGTTGGGCAATGAGGACTGGTTACATTCATTGTCTTCGTGTAAACGTTTTCGTATGGGCACAGTGTTTCATGGTTTCCTGTGCAGCCCACGTCGTGACACCAACCGCAGCGGTGCCAAGAACTGTTGACGCACTCTTTGCAGTTTTTAATATTGCGACAATGCGTTTCCAAATTGGCATTCAATTCTATTGCATTTGACTTACTTATTCCAGTGTAGCTCTTCTTTAATGTCTTAACCTTATAAAGCGCCCTTAAATTTCTTGATCTGTTGCCAAAGGATATCACTTGTAGGCAGCCTAACAAAATGATAAATGATCTTATGTGTTTGAGCATATTATCGTATTATGGGGTGTATCTTATTTCTTTAGTATGCTCTCGTCACGCACTGTGACGAAACACGTTGGGCCTGATAGAAGCGTGAAACTTATACCTCTATATATAGAATAATCTGTTTCCTTGTTATCTATAAATATTTTAACAGTGATTACTTTTACTTACTGTAACAATTGTAATTGATTGAATTTTTATTATAATATTATAGTTCTCAGTGATGTTGTGTTTCTTTTATGATTACTTTTTTTATATTTCTCCTTTGTTTCAAATACCTTTGCGTGAATTCATAAGTTTTAATAATAGAAATAACCGAGCATACCATCTCAGGAATACAACGTCTAAAATCTATAGACTTACAAACATTTATTTATTACAATACTGTGATTACAAAGAGTTTTCTGCATAGGATGAATTCCGAATAAACAAACCAACTAATGAATACAGGAAAAGGGGGAAGATTTAGACACAAAAATTACAAGGGGAATTTAGGAGAGTTGATACTTGTTAAAGATAGATTTAGAAATATGACACCTAAAATGGTGTAAATAAATGAAAAATAATTTTATGTTCTCCACATCATTTTTAAAACAAGAATAAAACAATCCATTACTACAAAGCTGTTTAAAGATACGCTTTTAGTCACGACAAGTATTTTTTTTTTAAAATGAGTGGTTAAACATCCTTTAAACAAATATATACCATTAAACAAATATATTATATATAAATAAATGAATTTACAGATTTTTTTAAATTTTTATTGTGCCTATCTCTGCATATTTAACATTAAAATTTGTAGAAGTACAAAAATTTTTTCGGCGCTGTGGGAATCGAACCCACGTCTTCGGGATTCGCGCCCAGAAGCTTTAACCATTAAGCCAAACGGCTGATTGCGACTGACGAAAGTATCTTGGACTTACGCCCGGTTTCTGAAACACTGATCATCGTAGATGTCAACTGATCAGCCGTCAAATGGCTTTTCAAATTTCATTTTAATTGCCAAAAGGACGGTTAAACTATCTGAAATGACCAGAATGATCTTCTAATGATCAGAACGATCAATCTAAATAGTTTCACCATCCTTTTAGCAACTAAAATGAAATTTGAAAACCATTTGACAGCTGATTAGTTGACATCTACGATGATCAGTGTTTCAGAAACCGGCCGTAAATGTTATAGTAGGACGTTAAACATTTCAGTATGTCTCAATATGTGTTATATAGACAAGTATATAGCCAAAGATGTAAAACAGAATTGAACACAAGAAATTCCGTCATTCTTTTTTTTATTCATAGTGTTTTTTCCAATTTTAGATTTGTTTTTAGAGTACGGCGACGGATTAACTAAGAATTAATTAAGTTTGTTAACCAGAATATATTGCGGTATCTTGGTTGTTGTATTATTTACAGTACATATTGTTATACTAGCTTTTCGCCCGCGGCTCCGCCCGCATGTACTACATTTTATATAGTGCTTAAAAAGTTGTCTTTTTCAATAAATGGGCTAGCTAACAGTGTACTATTCAAATCGGACCAGTAGTCCCTGAGATTAACGAGTTCAAACAAACTCTTCAGTTTTATAATATTAGTATGGATATCCTCTTATTTTTGGCCGCCCCATAACTACTAAAAATAATTGCTAGTGCGGTTCAGGTCGATATCGGCCCGCCGCTTTCCCGGGGTCCTGGCTCTTTTCCTATTTCGTGAATCCAGGTGCGAATCGAACCTAAGGAGGTTGGGTGCACCGTCATTTTAACAGTATAAAAAATTTAATATATACTTGATGTTTTGCACAGTTATAGCATTTTAATCTAACCCAAACCCGTGTGTTCTGGCTAGCTCAACGGTTCTGCGTCAGATGAAGCTTTAATAGTCTCGGGACTGAAAGCAAAAACATCAGTTAATACAAGATACAAGATTTTAATCTACACAATGCTGGTGGGTCGAGAAAGACCCCCCACGCACCGGCGGAAATATCGTAATGGGCGCATTTCCACCCGCGTCGCACCAGATGATTTTATGTGCAGACAGATGATATAGTTCTGAGGTCAACGTACTTTGGAAATTTTTGGGTTCCGTAAGCAAAGGGTGAAACGGGGGTCCCGTAAAATGGCCGTCTGTCACCAGGCAATTTTTTTTACAGATTATATTTTTCTGATGCCGCTATAACAACAAATATTAAAAAAAAAAAAAACAGAATAAAAATGATTTAATTGTGGATCCCATACAGCAGACATGATTTTTTTTTGCAGCCTTCATAGATAATTGCTTATAAGCATTAAGTTTGCCTTTTGTTTAGCCATAAGTTGAGGTGTAAGCAATACATTTTTTAAATAAAAAAATAAATAATGGTACGGAACCCTTAATGGCGACCGACTCGCACTTAGCGAAACAGCCTTAATTAGGTCCTGTCGGGCCATTATGTTGACTTATTGTTTAAGAGTGATCTCATTCGGATATGTCATTCAAAAGCTACGCAGTCCCAAACAGAAACACTAATGAATACGTATAAAAATGAATTCTTATTTCTAGTAAAGACTCAATAGCTCTTTTCAGGCGCCTCATGATATGAAATACGTTCCAAGCATATTTATTTCTCTGACAGCAAGTCGCAGGTGCGAACAAAAGGTCGAGATTGGAAAAGGTATTAAGATTATTTCGCTCTTTGTTTATTGCGCTGTCTCTCCTAACTGTCAAGATAAAAACAACAAAGTAAATAATTCGAAACTGTTGTTAAAAAACTATTTAAAATATTATTGTCCTGAATAGCACTTACTTAAGACTCAGATTATGTCATGGTCGAATAATCTATATTGATTATTCGATGTATACTATTTTAAACGAAAGCTGCTTGCATGTTCGTATGATTTAAAATACCAACCTCCTTACATTATCAATTTTACAGTTATATAAAACTAGCTTTACGCCCACAGCTTCGCTCGCGCCCTTAAATAAATATCTTTCAACCCTTTACTACACTTTTTTCCAATATAAATATGTATTGGCCTATGTCCACAGGCTACAGATTATCTGTGTACCAAATTTCATTTAAATCGGTTCGCATTTATAATATTAGTATGGATTAGAGTGTACATTCGGTGTTTATATGAAAACAGCAGTGTAGAACAACGTAAGCACACATATTATGACTTAAAGCAAAATATGTGTGCTTACGTGGCTGTTATACAATTGTATATATAATTGCAAAGTTTCATCAGAATCCATTCAGTTGTATTTGTTTGAAAGACTAACAAACATCCATACATACATACAAACTTTCGCGTTTATAATATTAAGTAAGTTTATTTATTTATTTTTAGTAGGATTTATTTATTATTTATTTTTTTTTTAGGCGAAAAAACAATACACATATTGTTTCTTCGCATTAAAGCAATGCTTGGCGCAGTTATTTTATATGCCTTAGAGCGTATAAATACATTTTCAGATAATTTACATCGATAATTCGACCGAGAGATGTCGCCATTTTTAATTGAAATTTTAATATAATCTCACAGTAAGTGATTTGCTATTATCATTAAAAAAAATATTCCAGCTGATTGACACTGCATCGCTTATTGAAAATGAGATCGCGCAAAGTAAATCGTGTATACTTTATTAAAATATGTGTACACAAAGAAGCTTTCCGTGACAAACTGAACAATCATAATTATTTTGATAGTATTTGACCTGGATTTTACGCGGACGAAGTTGTGGGTGGCAGCTAATCTCGTAACAATAATTACAGTCATAAGAAACGAAGATTGTTAAAGTTTGCTTAGGACAAGAATTACGCTCATAAAATCATAAATTGATAAGTAAAAGTTTAATTTTCACAGACTCGTTAAACTTTTAACATAAAATACATAAAATAATGTAAAGAGAAAATAACTATTCGAAAGTTGATGCCGATATAAACCATCAAGATAACGTTAACACGGCGCGAGATTACTTTTTAAATTGAGAAAAAGTAATGAAAGACTGCGTTTACCTTCAAATCGGATAACTTCGAATACGACGGCACTTTTAAAGACATAATAATCATAAAAACCGTCTCGCTATTCTAGAGTTTATTGCAAGAAAACATTCGGAAAAGATAATAATGTTGTTCCGTTGGTTGTAAAAACAATGAGCACGCATAAACTGTAATGAGAAAAAAGGAAATCCTGTTGCTTATAATGATAAAGACCGTTTATATGCATAGCAATGTTAGCAGAGATGTCATTTCAGATCAAAGACTTTTGATATTCTTATGGGGCTACATTTATTTTGTAACAACATTAATTGAAAGGCGTTTCAAGGTTAGGGACAAGTAAAGAAAAATAACATCCATATCCCACTGTTGGGCAAAGGCCACGCGGCTCCAATGCGGATTGGTGGACTTCACACATACTCGAAGTATTTACTTTTTTATTATTATTTCGAAAATATTCAGGTTTCCTCTCGATGTTTTCCTTCACCGCGGAGCACGTGAGAAGTCAGCATTAAAAATTAACTATTTCATTGGTGCCGGCACCGGGGATCGAACTCAGATTTAATAACTGTTTCATTTTAGCGCGTCGATGTACGAACAATAATGTTAATCCGTCTGTGAAATGAAAGACGCAGGTTTAAATTCCGCAGCGCGTAAAGTTTTGGCCTATGTATATACAAAAATCACACATTAACCCCCGGTTTCTGAAACACTGACCGTCGGAAAAATTAACTAATCAGCTGTCAAAAGGGTGGTTAAATAAGTAAAAGTTTATCAGAACGATCATAAAATCATCAATTCAAAGAGTTTAACCATCCTTTTGGTAACTCAAATGACATTTGTGAAACAACATTTGTATATATTTTATTTATATCACATTGTATTTATGTCATATTTCTAATTTATTTTACTGTTCATTTAATGTTTCACGAGAAATGATTTTGTCCAAAAAACGTACATGCGGGATTAAAACAGACACGTAGAATTTAATTTAAATTATTTTGACTGATCTAGAAACAGAGTGGCAGTTAGCCAGGCCCATCGATCATATTCGGATGCAAAATTTAATGGGAAACCATCCACGTGGAACGACCGACATATGTTGCTAACTTTTAAAAAACAACTCCGCATTTTGGTCTAATCTTTTAAAATATAAAAATATACGTTGTATAAAAAAGTAACAATTTAAATTGAGAGTTGGAACCACTTTTAGATTGTGACAAATATATTTATATAATAAAAATAATAATAATTCTAATAATGTCTTGAATATGATTTTTATAAAGTACATTTCTTATACACTATTATTGATGATATTAATGAGTTCATTGGAGTTCTTCACTCTTCACACATCTTCTTTATCGTGGTAACTAATGTGTTGAAACACCTTTTTAATATAAAAATAGCTATTAGAATTGAGTACTAGACAAAAAAATAAATATTTTTTTTTATTGATGATTTAAGTTCTAATGTGTGTTAACTGGATGGACCATGATTAACGGTGGTAGGGCTGTTGCACGAATGGGCAGGCCCGTCCGGGTAAGTACCACGACCTCACAGAAGACCGGCGTAAAGTGGAAGTATGACAAATACTTTCGCGTTTCGTCTGGTGAGTGAGGTGACCGGAGCCCAATTTTCAAAAGGTTGTCAACGCATCTGTAGCCCTCGGGTGTAGCAGATGTCTATGGGCGGCGGTATTCACTTAACATCAGGTGAACCGTCTGCTCGTTTGACAACTTTTAACATAAAAAAAAAAAACCTGCATTTTTTGATTCGAGCAACAGTCCTCGCTGTTGCACGAATGGTCACGTCCGTCCGGGTATGTACCACAACCTCAATTGAAAGGTAGCAACGTAACTGCAATCCTACGTGTGTTGCGAATGTCAATGGGCGGCGGTTATCACTTAACATCAGATGAAACGCCAGCTCGTTTGCCTCGTATGTATAAATTTCCTGGAATTTGCCTATTACTTTCTTGATGAAAAGTTTTACCCCAAGTAAGTACGGAACAAGATGGCACGAAAGTTGTACTAATTAGAAAATTGGATAACTTACAAGCTACGCGCTTGTTTTAAAACTAACGATCGCCACACATCGCAAGTTGACGCTCAAGCCTTCCTCTTTCCCGTCACTAGCTTTCAGCAAAATTCTCAAATACCTTTTAAATTAACTTCTTAAGCACGGCAAAGCAATTAAATATTAACGAAACCTAAACTTTATTCAGCTTGACGCTAAATTATTATCAACTTTCTCGCACTTGTAAACCTCGACTACAGTCTGCAAAGTTTGTTGTTAACATAAAAAACGGTTGTCAACACTTTTGAGAGAAATTCACCTAACGGTGTAATTACAGACACGCTTTATAACGCGTTTCGATTTGAAACAGTAATGAGAAACCGTAATGGTGGTAAGTTTTACGGCTGCGAGTGTTTTAAATCGAAACAACTCAACCCTCTTTTTCGCTGAAACCGTGTTTAACACATTTCGACAATTAAAAATAATATGATTCACCATTACATCATACTTTTTGCCGTTTTAATCAGTAAAATTGTTTGTAGAGATTTTTACGCAGGCATGTTCAAAAATAACGACTTTCTGGTAGCTCAGGATCGTTTGTACAAAGAGAAAGTGCCGTATCGGTATATGTACGCAAAGTACGGAAGATATTTCAAATGTCCGGTAAGTTGGTTGCATTCGACAGTTGACGCAATTGTTCGAGCCTTAGTTACGGCGTCGCGTGTTGTGTATCATGGGTTCAATTTCCGAACGGGAAATGTAGCATGACTTATTGTTTTGGGTTGGCTTGGGCTGTATCAGTCGACGTCTACCCAATTTATCTCTCATCCACATAGCGCTGTGTATAGATGCAGACGAGAATTCGGTAGCGATAAAAAGAAACAAGATATATAGAAGCACTCGTCTGTGATTATAATATTTTCTTTCACAGATAACGTACTTCAGGGTGGTGGACCGTTTGGGCGTGGGCAGCGGGCCGCAAGTGCAGGTTGTCCGCGGTGGCATCAGGTACAAATACATCGTGTTGCGCCTGAGGTCTGGATACAACCTTCCCATCTCCGTTAACATTTACGTCGGATGCGAGAACAAAATGACCAGGACCAGAGCCACCACCGCTTCGACAACGGTTAGCGCCGTGACAAGCTCTGCCACGGCGGCAGACTTAAGGACTACTACCGTGGAAGCTGGAGTCAATGTCACAGAAAGTGAAAGAACGACCACTTCTGTGGTGGCAACAACAGCCACCACCCAGTAATTACTATGAAGTTAATTAACACCTGATTTAAAGCCTCAATGTACATTAGCTTAAATATTGAGCACTTTCGCTTTTTCAGGGTTTACTTTAACATTATAGTGAACCGCTATTAAATGAGTCTTAATTAAATCTTAATACTTACAATTTATTTACTGAATAACATTTGTCTTTGTATACTTCTACGTTAAAACTTCACAATAATTCGAAACTTTCTCCTTGCATGCCTGGAATGCGAAAACGCTAAACAATCTTAAAACAATTTTCATTATAATGAACTACAGTGAGCATTAGCTCTTTTAACTATTGCATAGTTGAGTTAAAAAAATATCAAAAATGAGTTAGATTTAGGTTATTTTTCTCAATATTTATTGATATTGTTATTCTGTTATTATGTAACCCTTTTTGTAACTGTGGTAGGGCCACGCAACAGTTCAGTTGCACGTATGGACAGGTACGTCAGTGTATATACCACGACCACAAAGAAGACCGGCGTGAAGTGGAAGTGAAGAAGAAGTTCTCTCTTCTGCATTTAGTCTGGTAAGTGAGGTAGCCACGGCCCACTTTATCATTTAAAGGTGGGAACGCATGCAACCCTACGGGTGTTGGAAATCGAAGGGTGGCGGTTATCACATAACATCAGGTGAACCGCCAGTTCGTTTGCCATCTTCTCGCATAAGAAAAGTTGAACTAAATTGAAGAAACATTTTTTTCTTGCTACTAACAACGGAGGCTTAATTGAACTATTGGATAAATCGCAACAGCCAACACTGTTGTGTAGTTTAAAAACAACCTATCATTGTTAAATGCAAAGTGGTTAGTGCAACGTTTTGTAATCGTAATGTTCCATTAACTGCGGAACTCATGTGGGTTTTGCGGATTTTCAATTTAACTCAAATAGAATGGACTTTATAAGAACAAAGGATGCTCTTACTGTCACAGCAGAAACATATAATTCAATTCGTACAATGGGCATTGTCCGAAGAGTTACACCCATCCATAACGCTCCATTATTAGAATACAAGGGTACTGAATAAATTATTTTAATTGTGCGATAATTAAGAGCAATAGTAGATGGGGTTTTGCGCAGGTAAATTTTGTGGTACCTTATAGATATGTTCAGTGAGAATATTTCCTAAAAAAATCTAGAGTATGCTTTCTGTTGTGTAATGTATAATTTGTTAATCAATTGCTTTATTTGCATGTTCATATTGTTATATTATCAACATGAATCTTATGAAACTACAACTGTGTTGCTAACGACTCTTACAGCCTTAGTGGAAGTGTATATACGAGTATGTTGCAGAATAGGAACTGTTCAATATAAGTTAGGAAATTGATTTGTTGACTCAGGATCTAAAATTGATGTGGACGAGAACCTCACCTAAAAGTGGTAATCCTCCTTGAAGTAGGCGCGAAGAAAGAAATTGAAATTTCCAGAAGAGACTCCCAATGTTCTACTTAAATATTTCAGTAAGACAGGATCTCCGAGGCGCACGCGCTATGTTCCAATAGCGACTATAACTAGCAAAATTGGGGATCCGAAGTGTTCATTCAACAAATGTGACAAAGTTGAAAATATCAAATTGCAGAACCATTACATCCGAGTTAATCTGAGATCTTCTTAACCCGATTGTACGAATCCTAACCTCCTCTTCCTACACAGAACTAGGTTTAACGTGCATCACTAACAAGTTTTTTTTTTATGTAAAAAGTTGCCAAGCGAGCAGACGGTTCACCTGATGTTAAGTGAATACCGCCGCCCATGGACATCTGCTACACCTGAGGATTCCAGATGTGTTGACAACCTTTTGAAAATGGGGCTCCAGCCACCTCACTCACTAGACGAAACGCGAAAGTATTATACTTCCACTTTACGCCGATCGTCTGTGAGGTCGTGATACTAGCCCGGACGAGCCTGCCCATTCGTGCAACAGCTGAGGCTGCTGCGAGGCCCTACCACCGTAGTTCGTTCCGACTAACTGCCACAAATCAACCAAGCTATCACTGAGACCGCTCTCAAACAGCTTAAAGCCCCGTTGAAGACTGACTGCTTTCCCTACTGCCTTTGCCAGGTTATTAAATTAATAGATGTAATTTATAATACACCGTTTGAAACTCTTACTGAAAACAATGAAAATTTATTATTTACGTTAGTGCAGTTTTTTCTCCAGTTTCCTGCATTGTAGATTATGTACACGTAGAACCTAATTTATGTGTGTTCGTATCTCGTGTTATTTTATTTTATTTTTGCATCTCAACATATCTGGATCAACCGCTGGATTGGCTTACAGAATATATATTTGGTATTAAATCTGCCAGTGGCAAATACATTCTGCGCATAAGGATTTAAATAAATAAATGGTTCACTCGAGTGCCATGAGCAGTTACATAATTCACTGAAGACAAGGCGAACATGTAGCTAAATAATAGGGAATACATTATGGATAAGTAAGTATTTTAAACAAGAAATTATGCTGTATTTCGCTTGAGTGTCGACATCTTGTTTTAATAACTTTTAAATGCATTACGCCAACACGTGTAACTTATAGCACGGTTCATCTTTCCCGAATGGGAAAGACTTGTAAGTAGACTGTTTTACTGAGTTACAAAAAATACAAAATGAAGTTTGTATTTTAAAATATGTAGAAAATTAAAATATGTAGAAAAAGTGCGAAAAGATTGTCGCTGCTGTGGGAATCGAACCCACGTCTTCGGCATTCGCGGCCTGACGCTCTAGCCACTGAGCTAAACGGCTGATTACCACACCGACGAAAATCTTAACGCATTCTTCCACATTGTTTTCTTAGCATTTGAAGCAATGCTTTAGCAATTTGAATTTGAATTTGTTTGAAGCAAGTCTTAGCATTTGAAGTTTGTAATTAAGTTGCAACCGTGTTTCAGTAACAAAAGGAGGAACACTCGACGTATTCCTCTTTGAGGGGGCTCTGCGTAAGGAACCCAGCCATGATAGGATCAGGGATGTGAAGTCAGTGCAAAACAGAAATATCACTTTATACATAGGCGTGTTCCAAAAGAGTACTACGACTACTTCATTTATCAAATATCCGCAAATATTTATTACCTATCTTATTTAAGTATTGACTGTTTATTAGTCGTAAATTTTGTAGGAAATTCATGAAATTTCTAGTTTTATACGTGACTGGCGACCCGCCTAGCTTCGCACGGGTGCAATGCATTATACATATAAACCTTCCTCTTGAATCTTTCTATCTAAATATATAAAAATACTATATTACTACTATTATTACTATTCTTTTTTAATATAATATAAAAAGACGAATCAAGATCCGTTGCGCTGTTTTAAAGATTTAAGCATACATAGGGACAGACAGGCAGCGGGACTTTGTTTTATACTATGTAGTGATTACAAAGAGACACTACTATCAGGTTGACTGTGGTAGGGCCACGCAAAGGTTTCGGCTGATGCACGAATGGGCAGGAAATCCGGGAAGGAACCACGGAAGACCGGTGTGAAGAGGAAGTGTTATGCATTCACGTTTTGTTTGGCGCATGAGGTGTCCGGGGCCACTTTCTTACAGGTTGGTAACGCCTCTGCAACTCTTCTTCTGGTGCTGTAGATGTATCTGGGTGGTGGTAATCACTGAACATCAGGTGAACCGCCTGTTCGTTTGCCAACTTATAACATAAAAAAGGGTTGAACGCGAATACCGTAGGTAGCCACTTCCGTAGCTTGGACTCCACCAGTGGACCTACCGGTGGAGATGGATGTTCTATTGAATCGATGAAAATATCGGATATGGAGTATAGTCTCGGTCTCATAGAATAGGTCTAAGTTATCCGTTGCAAGCTGGTTAATAGGAGACACTTGGTCCATGGACATGGCATCGATTCCTAGAAGATTCTGATTTTCCAACGAACAGGAAGTGACCGCTGAGGATGTTTTAGTGGCTAATAACCCCATATAACTCTTCTTTCTCCGAGGGTACTTTACGAAGATTTCCCACGATTTAAAAAATGGCATACTTAATATATCAAATTTGCCAATGAAATAAGTTTTATGTGTTAAACACATTAATGAATAAGTATAACGTATCATCTTTCAATAGACGCTTAGAATCTTTAAAATATCACAAACGTCCACCTTGGTTTGAAAATTTGTGTCAAGTAAATTAAAATGTAATATCGTTTGAAACCACTAATATTCTCGAAATGAATTAAGCTTAAGAGTAAAAAAAAGGTAAATGAATTCAATCGGATCTGTATCAAATTAGACGGATAAATAAAGCCCTTGGGAGAATTCCACGAAGAATTATACGAGGTAAAATCGAATTTATCCTTTTAATTTTTCTTTTAAGGTTCTTTATCTAAAAACACTTTATTAATCAAGATTTTGCAACCTCATAAGCATATTATATAGAAAGAGACTATAATATGTGCCACTTAAGGTCTTTTTAGTGATACCTTAAGTGGTCCAGAATTTTGAAATTACACCAAAACATAAAAACTACTTAAATTCACTTCGTTGCTTGACCAAATAAGTCATCAACTCCCAAGTCCTAAGAGAAGAGTTTGTTTTAGAGCACTTCAAACTCTCTTAGGAGACCTCCAAATTCACAACTGTATTTTAAAATAACTGCTTATGACTTTAGTTACAAATCCTCCTTACATATTATTTAATACTTCTCTGTACGTAATACGTGCCTACACTTTTGGTGATATTATATGTTTATATCTTTACATAAGTGTATTTATATATTTTTGTATATATGTACTGTATTTATATTCTTTCTCTTAAGGGATACATCTTTACAGATATTTGATAAAAACATGTACATCTAAAGATATTATTTTTCCTTGTTCCTTACCATGTCTCTGTAACAGGAAAAAAAATGTTTGAGCATAAATATGCCAAACATGTATTTTTTCATAAACACTATACTGTTTTCTTGTCGCTGCTGATATGCTAGACGCTAAACAGCTGTTGTTTTATAATCATATTGGAGATAATGAAATTA